AAAAAAAAGGGGTCGTAAACGAAGATGGTGGCACACTGAGTTATTTAAAAAACGTTGTGGAAATGAACTAGGGTTCCATAGTACTGGAAATGCCTTATATACCTCAATTAACCTTAGACACTTTTCTTGTGACCACTCCATTATTTATTCAAAAATGCAAATATACAAAACTTACAAGTATACAAATACGAGTACTAGTAATAAGTAAGTTACGAGTTACGACAATGTACTAGTGTCAAATCACGTTGTCAAAGCGGTATGCGCGTTTCAACGATGATAAAAACAATATAAACACGTACACACTGCGCCGAACATTTCCTTTGTGTTCGTTTGAAAAACCGACAAAAATTGGTTCTCTCCGCGCGGTTGCAGTAACAGCGCGCGCGTGTTTCAAATACTGTCCACACGAACGAGCGCGCGGCGCGTGCAACGTTGCATTACAGGTTCGGCGCGCTCGTATGTACGCGGCTTAGTATATCCGTTTTAATCTGTCGTTATTCAATGAAATGTTTTCATTTAAAAGGTGTATTTGGATTTTGTTTTCGTTTATTTTTAACAATGGTTATTCTTTTTCTGGAAACCGTAGTCTAGTAGTCAATGATCATTTAATCATGTTCAAATTTAATTCAAATTAATTTCCTATAATTATGAACAAAATGAGAGAGTGCAAAATCAAAAGTTCGTAAATTAAAAAATAAGGACCACCCTAATATATATATATTTATATAATGTTAACAAAAAAATTTAAAAATCATAATCTTTAACTTTTAAGTATATGATTTAGATGGTATTAATTATATTATACTCTCTAATTATCTTTACTACAGTATTGAGGTTAATATCTAATATATTATGTTTCAATAAATTATATGGTCTACCTTAGATTTTATATGTTGATGAGTATAATATAAATATTATTTAAATATTACAATGAATAAGGGCTTACAAGTTTAAAAAAAGGATTGGAATTATTATCAACTACCAATTTAAATGGTATAACTATTTGAAGAGTATATATCTCTTTATCTAATAATATTGTAATGGGTGGTATTAATATGAAATAATAGTTGGCTAAAAGTCATATGCTAGAAAATACAATTTACTTAATTTGTTTACATGTAATTTACATCATAACATTTAGCTTGAACAAAGTTGTATGAACATTTTTCAGTATTATCCTACTTATATAACTTTACAATACAGATATGAAATGTTATTAAGTTATACATTTTGAAGTTTTCACTTGAATAAATTATAACTATTGTTTGAAATTATATTATAGTTATGATGAATAGTGCATGTTATAATTTAAGCAATTTAAAATTAGCATATTGACGTGAATGAGAGTTCACGATATTATTTTGATTTAAAACTAAAGTTTTCATTTTATGGAATATTATTAAAATGCATTAAATTGGGTATAATCCAAAGTATTGAAGTAGAAATGAAATGTATTACTTTACATATTATATATTTACTCGTTCGCTATAGCTATATTTAAAACGTTATAATGTCAATGGCTTTTAAACATAATATCATATTAAATGTCTACGTGTAGTCACTATATAAAATAAGATATAAAACGTTTATAAATTACGAATTATTTTAACATCTTAAAATTATAGTAACAATTTCAGTTGTTATTCAAATATACAAATTAACACGTTAAATACAATTTTAAACGGTTGCCATCGGAAATCCGATCTATTTATTTTTATCCCAATTAATTCCGAATCCGGTAATAGGCCATTCAACGATCTAGAGTAAAATCTATCAACATTCCGTTTGAATAAACCGTTTGATACGTATACATACAATAAAAATTATAATAATCAAACGGTACCGCAAGGAACTCTATTTTGTTTTTACGAAATACGTAGTCAACGTGCCTTTTCCTTTTACATATGTTGGACCCCGGCATTCGCAGTCGTAACCCGCTGCCATTAGGATTTTCGCCGTGTCCTCAGTGACCTGAATAAAAACAATAGCACGTTACGAACTGCTGTTAAAACACGTAAAGTTACATGTCACTCGGATATGACAATAATGAATAACCGCCCATAATTCATACCTGAATTCGGCCCATAATCCCGCAACTGTCCATCCGAGACGCTACGTTCACGGTATTTCCCCAGATGTCATATTGTGGTTTTTGCGCGCCTACCACACCGGCAATTACTGGACCGTGATTTAATCCTATCCTAAGTTTAAATCGCTGAAACGACTCACGATTTATTTGTTCCAAAATTGTCATCAATGCGATGGCGAATTCCACGAGAATGACCACATTGTGTTCTTGCTGCCTATCTTCTGCCGCCTGTAATCCATTAAAAGAAAATATATTTGTTTTTTTTTTTTTTTTATAACTATACAATTATAACACTATTGATTGATATCTAACGATAATTACTTTTATTTTAGTATCTAATTAATTAAAATTATTGTTACATAAAAATACTAACTTTTGACGTATTATTTTCTTTCCCAGGCCTTAAACCAGAAGCCAACATATAAGTACTGCCTATGGTTTTGATTTTTTCAATCGAGCTAAATTTGGGTTTCAAAAGGAGCTATAATCATAATTATAATACAATTGGATATTTTCATTATTCACGCACCATATTATATTACAATGCACTAACTTTTTTAAGTGGAAATGATTTATCTTGCCACATAAAAAAAATAGAATATTGCACAATAGTTTTAAAGGGGTAGAACACGATTCCGTACGGTCCTTATCAGCGTACGGAATCGTACACATTTTAAAGCACACGATTCCGTTCGTTTTGAACTTAAGATTTTAGTGTAACGTTGTCAGATTTCTAAATAAGTTAAAAAATTATGTAATTATAAATGTAATCTATTAATTTGTATAACACATATACGTATTATAAGTCGTAGATATTATACAGTATCGATCGACATCGACATCGTCTCAAAGTAAATCGCAATAACACTATTAGATTTGATATGGTTATTAATCATTACAAAATAGTTTATCAGTAACAAAAGAATATATTCGTGTATGTAGGTACATCAAAACCAAAACTACTGATAATCTACAGCATACGACATAATATCTTAATAATAAATTAAGATAGGTATCAATGTTTATTTTCCCTAGTCTTCGCATGCCAGTCGATAACCACATCGTTTTGCGTAAAGTGCGGTGCGTTATAAAAATATAAAAAATAGTGAACATGGAAAATGAAGTTAAATTTATAACTTCAGAAAAAGGAAACCGCTGGTATTATTTAATTTCCATAAATATCGGCTTATACGAACACGAAAAGATGGTTTAAAAAAATGGTTATGTATACAAAAATTGTGTTATGCTAGGCATTGTGACAAATGGAAATTTAATTCATCAAACATCAAATGAACATAATCACTATGAAAATTCAGTCCAAAGTGTCGAAATACATGTACTGAGAGAAAACTGTAAACGCAAGGCAAGTGGATCTATTTCTATCCGACCTATTAAAATAATTCGAACAGAACTCTTAAAAAGCGTAAATTCAGAAGAAATTGAACATAGCGATATACGGTCAATCAGAAAAGCCACGTATGAAAAACGACGACAAATATACCCGGCTTTTCCAAAATCTTTAATTGACTCAATTGAACAACTCAAAAGTATACACAATCATGATGTACTTAAATTTAAAGGTGAACAATTTATTTTTGTACCCAATAACAAATTATTCGTTTGTATAACTACAGAACAAAATCTAAGATGTATGATTAAATCATCAGATTTTTTTGCCGATGGTACTTTTAATTACGCGCCAAAACATTATATTCAGCTCTATACAATTAATTGTTTACAAAATGGATTTTATGTACCCGTGGTTTAATTTTTCTTGCCTGAAAAATCTAAACAAACCTACATTGACATGTGATTATTTCTTCAAGAATTAAGTGAAAAATTAATTTTCAAAAGATTTGTTATTCAAAAGTTACATTTAGACTTTGAGATAAGTGCTCATAAAGCATGTAAAGAGGTGTTCCCAAATGTAGAAATTCAAGCATGTCGATTTCATTTAGGGCAGTGTTGGTGGCGAAAAGTAAATATGCTTAAAATGTATTATTTCTTTATAAAATGGTAGTATGCAACGTATTAACTTTACAGATAAATTCTGAACAGCGATTCTGAACAGCATATACAAATGACGACGAGTTAAGAAAATGGTTAAAGCTATTTTTCGGGTTGTCATTTCTATCACCACATGAAATCGAAAATGCATTCATTGAACTTGTATCTATATGTCCTAACCTAGATATAGGATGTTTATTTTCTGATTATATATTGAAAACATACGTAGAAGATCACTGTTTATTTCCACCAAAAATTTGGGCTCAAGAGCCATCGGAAAATCCTCGGTATGTATAATAATATATAACTATATAAGACTTTCTTGGAAATTTTTTTCTTATTATAAAATAATTATAATTATTAAGAAACATACTTGCTTAAAGTGTATATAAACATACATAAAGTATTTTAAACTAGAATAAAAGATAAAAAATATACAGATAAATTGTATCGCCAATTTGTTCATAACCACCACTATTAATTTTTGTGCGCGTGGCCTAAAAATAAATTCTAACATGATCGACTCTGTAATCGTCTGCGATATACCGGTCGACCAGTTTTATCATATAACTACATTAATCTTATATAAACGTTTTATTTTCATTTATTTATTTATTTTACTATATATTTTAAAGTACAACAAATGGATCTGAGAGTTTCCATAGAACATATAATGCCCAGTTTTATAGTCCACACCCTTCAGTTCATTTGGTTATAGTAGTTCTAAAGGAAACACAAGAAGAGACTTGCACGAAAATAAGATCTGTGTCTAAAGGACGTTTGAATGAAATGGCCTTAGCCGACAAACAACGATTACATCACACAATAACCGAACATAACAAATTTTTAATTCATAGAAATATACTAAAATATTTATCAAGTATTTGTATTAATTACCAAGGTATCAAATTATAATTATTAAACCATTTACAAATTATATATTTTAAATGTTTATATTTTTTTATTTTTAAATGACAAAAATTAATTGATAATAATAAATAATAAATGGCAACGTTGCATGGAAAATCGTACGGAATCGTGTTGTTTTTGGGATCATTTTATAATACATTGTTTGTTAGTGTTCCCAAAAAGGTAAAACGTACAGAATCGTGCTTTACCGGTTTTAAAGTACTTTATTGTATTATTACTTTATCGAAATCGCAAATTATTTCGTTTAACAATCGTAAACATTCAAGTCCTTGTTTATTGACATCATTTTCATCATAAAATTCTTTATAATTTGGAATCGATGCAAACATAACAGCTATGCAACTATAACGTTCATGATACAAGTCCTGAAATTAAACAATTTAAATCAAAAATACGTTTGAATCATTATAGTAATTGATTTATTTCTACTGACATGTAGAACTTGCTCTCGAAGGAAATGTTCCGCAACGTGGGCTGGCAAAATGTTTTCCAATAAGATTTTATTGATGCCTCTCATTGTTTCTACTTCCTCTTGTTCGACCTTTAATTTAGCTCTCCATAAGAAATCTGTACGAGCAGCTAATTCGTTTTTTCTGTCCAACATGTGAAATATGATGACTAAAAGAAAAATTGGAACCCACATTTTTATCTGCCATGGTATCTCGCTAGTAAAAAAATATTTAATAGTTAATTTCTAATTAATGAAAATTTCGAATTTTTTCTTACTTTTCGCTGAAATCTTTAAAATTGTACTGAAAAAAAGGTATTGTCTGATATATAGATAAATGAAGTGTACCACAGATTACCATGATAAACAGTTTGAGAGTGATACCGATTCGAAGAAATGTTGATATCATTGATAACGTAAGAATAGTACTACACAAAAAAGCCTAAACGTAATGTTGAAAAAATGTAGTATTTATTTTTTAAGTTTATTTCTCTGTGTTTACCGAAACAATTGAGGAAGAAGTCCAATGGGTTAAGTCTTCTGTCAGGTTTATTATTTTCGAGGTATTTGAACTAATTAACTCGATTGTCTCATTCACTTTAGGACTTTCGGTGTATTGGAGGTCCGTATCAAGCTAAAAAATAACCAGTTTTTACTAAAAATACAAAAAAATTAATATTTTTAAATACTTACTAAAGTGATTATTGCACACGTTCCAACTAAACTAGAACTCAATAGAAATATAGACATTCGGAGCCATCTAGATGAACCCACTGAAACGTTTTCCTGAGCACCACATTCGTCTTCTGACTTCCAACTTGCGTAAGCAAATACAAATAACGCTATGGACGAGGCGCTTTGAGCCCCCAGCATAGTTATAGATCTATTAAAACATTATAAAGTAAAATCTCATTAAAATTATTTCTATTCTTTTTATAATTTTTATAAGTTACATTTTACAAAAAAAAATTTGCTTAAGAAATTTATAGTTTAATTAGTTTTTATTAACAATCTTCTTGATACCGTAAAAATAATATATTTAAAGTTTCGATTCAATCATATGACCGTGTTATTTTTAAGTAATTTATATTTGATTCTTAAACAATAAGATGTAATTACATGTCTATATAAAAAAATGTAAGAAGTATACTTGAAACACATAAAATACTCGTATATTTTTGTCTTATAAAATTAATTAATTTTATAAAAATGTTTTATAATAATTTACTAGTGGTTTAATATTAATTTAAAAACTTTATAATGATTTTGAGAAATGTTTCATAGTCGGCAGTATGCTTACTGATCAAGTGATTAATTTATTGCAATGTTGTAATTATTTTATATTATTTAAATATCATAGGATATTTATAAATAAATTGCCTCGCGTATATAAGATAATGGTTGTAGTCAATTTTCTCCAAAATTGATCCAAAATATATACACCATGTGTAATATGCACCATAATGTATATAATGTGGTTTCGATAAAGAAAATCTATAATTCTAATATAACTTTAATTTAGTTTTTATTTATAAAATAGTCGAGTTTATATGCACATTGTTTTAGGTTTGTATAAAATCTCATTATCATTAATATAAAAAAAAGTTCGTCATTAAAAAAAAATTATATGTAAAATTAATAAAAATAAATGTATGTTACATTTGATTTGCCAGATTTTTTTGATAAAATGTTATGTGTCACGGTTAAATGAAAATGGAATAATTTGAAAATACAATAATCCGTGAATCCGTGAATTTAACTTTACGTGAGTCCGTGAATTTTGTTATTAAACGACGCGTTAATTATTACATTTAAAATTTTATTTTCAATACATTAAATATCTTCCAATGGCTTCCTACTTTTTACATGACAGTGATCGGTTAATAATTATTTTGTATGAAGAGAATATCCACGGAAAATTAATATTTTAGAATGCGGTTTTTTTGACAAATGTTTATTATTTGAAACTTATTAACATTTTACATATATACAAAAATAATTGAACAATTATGTATAGCATAAAAATTGACAACAATAAGAACATGTTTTTAAATTTTATTTATTTATTAATCTTGGATAATAAGCCCAATTTTTCCTCATGCATAATTTACTCGTATAATATAATACAATAGTGATAATTATTATATTCATATACATTAATTGATAATTATGGAGATTCACGTTGGTTTTACAAAAAAGTTGGTATCGGCTTGCGTCAGTGGCCGCTCCATTTCGCAGGGGGTGCAAGTCCATACCCTGCCACCCCCGTGGACACGCCTATGATTATTATGAATGTTTTTTAAATTACGAACTACTGATCCAGTTGTTCCACCAACACACGGAAATTCATTATTAGAATTGTTTTTCGAATAAATCGCAGTAAGCTATATCTCCTACACGTTTAGCGTAATTCCAAACCCAACTTTTAACCTTCGACATTGTTATACGTTAGAAAGAAATTTTATATTTTAATGCCGATAGTATATATTTACCGTGAATGTGAGATTATCTCATCAAGGCTTCAATAAATAACGATTGAAAAAAAAATGCCTTATAATTAACTAGTAAAACCGTAGGCTTTAATGATTCGTAGAAATTTCCACGTCGCTGTCGTGTACGTACTACGTAGTAGTATAAACATTAAGCCGGGTTCCCACGGCGCGTGGCTCGTGGCTCGGCGCGTGGCTTGGTATTGCGCGGTACTGTTCACGAGCCGTGGGATCGGTGTTGCTCGACGCGGCTCGTATATGATCGGCGCGGCTCGTATCTATCCGAAAATTGTCGGTTTTTGGTACCCGAGTCAAAGGAAACCATTTGCGCTCGTTGCTCGGCTCGTGGAGTCGGTTCAACGCGCGTTCCAACGGCTCATGTGTATTTTCATTTTTATTTTACTTTTTTTCCGAATATTTTATTTATTTATTTTCAAAAAACATGGAGTGGTCAAATGAATTGATCTTAGAATTTCTTGATCTATATGAACAAGAGCCTTGCATCTGGAACCCGAAACACTCGCTACACAAAGTTCGCAATTCCGTGCATGAATTTTCTTGACGGATCTACATTTAAATCGCACAGCATATTTGTTGCATTGTACCTAAAAAAAATACATACATATTTTAAAGTATAATAATAAATAAATATATGGTTAATTGGAAAGCAAAAAATTTAAAATAATTCTATACCTTTTTCGACTTTTATAAAATGTATCCATCCAGTATCTTCTTTTTTTTGGAGTGCTTGCTTCATCTTCATTATCAGATGAGTAATATTTTAAAAACTCACTGCACACGATAATATAATATGCTGTGGCATTGGCAATTTGTTCATGATCATCCATATTTAGTAAAAAAAATATAGATAAAAAGCAGGTCTATAGCGTCGACGAAAGACAGACTCGGAATGGATCGGAATGGGATGCCGAGTCGCTAGAGACTTGTCGAGCCACAGGCCGTGGGATCACGTTGGCGTGTAGGCTCGGCTCGTCTAGGGTTAGTAGCGCCGCGCCACGCGCAACGAGCCGCGCGCCACGAGCCACGCGCCGTGGGAATCCGCCTTTAATCTACCCGTCCCGTCATTTTACGACAATACGGTTTATGAAACATTTATTTTTAGAATATTAGGTATAAATTCTTTTAGTTTTTAGTTTTTACTAAAATTATTAACATCTTATTAAATATATTATTAAAATTTAACGAATTCAGTAAATATTATGTTTTAAGCACACGTGGAATAAATATCCGTGATTTACTAATTAATTACAGGTGAATTAAATACACGGATTTTTAAGTTTAAGTACACGTGAACAAAAAACACGTGATCACTTAATTCACGTTCGAATTTGAGAGTTCTAATTTTTATTATTATAAGAAAAGAAATACAAATATTTTTATAGTTTCTAAACACATGAAAATAAAAAATAAATAAATAATAGTTCTGCTCTTGGGTATAAACGGGTTTCCTAAATATGATTTTAAATTACTTATTGGTGAAACATTCTACGAACTAGAAGATGGAAAATATCGATTGTAATCTTTGCCGATTTGCTATTTCAATGTTCAGTCGCATTCCCGTAATCGCGTTAAAACATTAATCGTGCGCTCGGGTCCGCCATAATTGTCGTAAATAAATGTTCAAAATGACGAAAGATAAATCGCCCTTATCGAGTCATCTTTGTAGCTATGTGCGTGAATTTGGTGAGAATATTTTTTAAGCCAATGGTCAAATCATTTTGTGCAAATTATGTAAAGTAAAAGTTGACCACGATAAACGGTGTTCAATTACACAATATATTAAATTTGAAAAAATACTTAAAATCTGTGAATTTATGCTAAATTAAAAAAAAATAAATATTCAAAGTTTATTCACTAATACTATTAATGTTGTGTTGAATAAAGATTCGTTTTATCTAGATGTTTATAAATCAATGATATCGGCAAACATCCCACTTAAAAAATTTAACGATGTTCATTTCAAATCATTTTTTTTTCAAATACTCGCAAAAAAATAACCAACGAATCTACAGTTCATAAAAATTACTTAAATGATTGCTATATTGATACAATGAATACAATTCGTACTAAATTCGAAGGGAAAAAGGTGTGGTTGTCAATCGGCGAAATACAGATGTTGAAGGGCGATATGTTGCCATTGTCGTCATCGGAACTTTAGAAAATCATGATCCAGGTACAACGATGTTATTCAATTCTGAAGTTTTGTACATAGCAAATTTCTCCAATATTTCAAAAATATTCGGAAAATCTAAAAATGTATTATGGACTAAAGGTATACATCATGACTCTGTACTTTTATTTTTGAGTGATGCTGCATTATATATGGTTTGAAACTTATGGGTTATTTTTGATAAGAGTGAATAGTATGGTTTATAACATAGAATGGGACTTAAAAAATTGTCCGTATAATTTTAAATTAGACTCTTTGAATGTGGTTAATGTTGGTAATTTTGGCAGCGTCTCAAAGTGGAATTACAACAAATTCTTAAAATGTCATAACTTAATAACTACACAGGATTTGTTTTCGCATTCTTTTATTTATTTTATCTGGGTCTTGATGGGTAACTTCAATTATTGTATATTAAGATAGATCAAAGGATTCTAGATGAAGGAATTGGATGTTAAAGAGTTTGAAGACATTAATGTATTGATTTAATATTATAAATTTCTATAACTAGGTATGTATGTTTAAATTAAATTTGTAAAATGCCTGCGAACATATTTTAGAATTATGTGGTCACTGAAATATCTAAGATAAATCGTCTGTAGTTGTTTAAATGCAAAGAAAATAATGTAGGTAATTCATGATGGTATTTACTATGGATTATTTTATGTTTAGTTCAAATTAATAAAAATAAACTTACTTAGGTATCAACAGTAGTTGTATAATAACCATGCACATAAATAATAATAAGGCAGTAACACTATAGTATTTGTAAAATGGGTCCGCTTGGTTTCTGTACTGTGACTCTTGCGCACTGTTCTTGAACCATAAGCATACCGGATTGTAATCTTCTGAGCCATACCATTTTTTGAAACTATAATTATGAAAAAAATTTTAGTTTATAATGGCTCTAGCTTAAATTCTGCTTAGCAGATGTATAATTTATATTGTTTTTTAGTCAGATTCATTGTAAATTTTCATTTTCTGAGAGAAAATTTATGGAATAAATTGTATTTTTTGTTTGAAATAATTCTTAAGTAAAATTTAACTTAATATTCTGCGAATAGAACAGTGTAAGAACATTAACATTTTATTGTTGAATTTTTAATTGTGTAAATTAATAACTCTGCAACTTATGTTACATACTAAAAAAACCAGTTTTCATTTAAAAGTATTGTATAATACATTCTAGACACTTACTCGCATTGTATACAAGTGTTTTTCGATGGAAGTAAGTTTGATTCGATCATCGACAGACTCTAAAAAGTAATAGGTTAATAAAGATATCATATAATTAATAGAAATATATTTACCTATGAATTAAAATGGTGAATTTTATTGTACTTACTGCTAAACCGATATTTTTTGCCATTGTACTTTCCGTTATATTTGCAAATGGTTTGTCTGCGCCCCAACATTCAATGTATTTTGTCATTTTACTGGGCGATCTATTTCTACTAATATTTTCATCATTATAAAGTCCTCCATTTTCGGCCTGTTTGTTCCCTTCGATTTTTAAAAGGTTTTCCATTTCCTGTTGAAATTATAGTTTTATTCTTAAATTAAACGACACATAATATAAATATATATATTTTATAACCATAAAAGTTTTAAATTTAAAAATACTATTCAGAATCATAGTTATCAATAGTAATATGCAAGGCCGGATTGGACAAATTCGGCCCACCGAGTTTTCTGTATGTTACCGGCCCACTTACTAACTGGCGGTCCTTGTCCAAATTTTTTTAATCGCATATTTCAATATGTACACTAATCTTCAATTTAAAACTATTAATATTTCCTGTTAGCGGCTTTTCACGACTTAAAAGGCCAAAAAATGTCGCCCATCGAGTTTTGCTCAGTAACTCGCCGGGCCAACCCGGCCCTGGTAATATGTTATCAATACCACTATCACATATTTTTTAATTATAATTATCACACCGACATACAAATATTTTTTGATTATTTATTAATTAAAATGACTATTATCAATTTAAAAATGTATATTATAAGTGATAAAACAGTCAGAAATAAATATATACGGCTTTATCACATAATACATTATAATGTATTAATTCCCGAAAAATGTGTAATTTATTATACTAAATACCTTTTTTTGGAGTAAGTATATATCTTAAATTTTATATGTTTTAGGTATACAAGGTTGTCTTGTATAAGAAGATAATGGAATATGTAATTAAATGTATTCCATGTCATCATAAATTTTCTTGATTCGTGTTAAAATTAAGTTGAAATTACATGCTATAAAATTATGTTACCTACAAAAAGATTTCAAAGGAACACTGATGTATATATTGTGTTATGAGTCCAACAAACCGACCCTTGATGTATCACATAACTGCAATATGTCCTTGCCACTGCTGTTTATATTTGATGTTCAGGACTCCACTACTGACACTCACAGTATAATTCTGTCATGTAAAATCACCAACGTGTATTCGAGATTTTTGAACATTATGGTATGCATTATTTAAAAAGTTTCCCCTCGCCTTCCCTCCGAAATATGTTATAAGCATGATAGAAAATGTTCAGAAACATTGTTTACATTTAAAATGTAAACTTAAAAAAATAAAAAACAATTTCTTAAAAAATGACTGCATTTTTTTCCACAGTATGTTTAATGCTGTTTAATCTGTACAGGAATTCTCTGAGAATGTATCTCTGACAAATTTAATTAGAAAGTGATAAATAATTTAAGGTATCTTAAAAAATTATTTAATTAATCAAACTTTAATTATTGTAATTGAAATATTAATAGTATTTTATTTATTGAATAAGGAATAGAGGAAATGTAAAATATCCAACATGGTATATAATCAAATAAACAAACATAGGTAAACAAAATGCCATTATACGAAAAATTATTTTTTTCCAAAAACTAAAACAATATCCTAATACGTTGTGTTTGAGTTAAGACTCTGAAATCCCATAAAAAAAAAATAAAAAAAAAATAAAAAAAATAATTAAAAACAAACCATTTAAAAATTGGAATTACAAAAATATTAATTATTCACTTTCAAAAAATATCGAAAAAATGTATAAAATAAATATAAAAAATAAATTGTTAATTGTTAAAGATAAAATAAGCAAAAAAAAACGTACATTATATCTTACATATATTTATGTTTCAATTTTAAGCAGGATGATTAAACTATGGTAAAATATTTTAATATTCGATTTTAAAAATGCTGAATAGCAAATATTCAGTTAAATACTTGATTACTTGATGAAGTTAAGAAATAGAATATTACGTGGTTACATGAAAAATTATTTTTTCGTAATCGAATTTTTATTTAAACGAAATACAATGAGTTTTGATATATTTTAAAATAACGATAAATTATAAATAAACGAATAAACCATATTACACAATGCACGTAAAAATTTCTTTTTCGGAAACCTCAGATTTTATAATGAACACTATTAATATTTATTATTGCATTCGATTTACTCTACACAAACATCAAGTCGAGATTAGGTCCAATGAGTTTTAAACGCGAAATGTTGGAAAGAAAAACGTTAGAAAAAAACCAACTTTTGTATAAGCGATTATATGATCGTAAATGGAAATATATGATGGTAGTGGGATTCGGTTTTTTCAAAAATAAAAAAAAATAGACGTTAATCGAACGCACATAGTTATGTATTTGGTATAATATCTATAGTTTTGGAGTATTTAAGGTAAAAAGTTGACAAAGAGAAACTCGTGAACCTAACTACAGAATGAGAAGTATGTACAAACTTTTCGGGAAAACCACAATGTACTTAGTAATTACAATTTTAAAACTATTTTAATTTTTCATAAATCTTAAATAATAATTCAGATCTAATTTCAATATTGCGCCTTACAGGATTCGATGTCAGCTATAGGTTTGTCATCACTGCACTGGTATGTAATTTTAATCTCACGTTTTGTGCGATCGAATATATCCCTTTACAACGATTGATCGTTCGTTCATGATAATTTTTCATGTGATATCGAAGAAATCATTTTTAGCGATTTTCATCTGGAACCGGTATTTTTTCTTTTAATTATCAATGGTGTGCATCGTCAATTTTTACCATCATCGATGTTCGCCACAAGATCGATTGATATAATTATTATTCCACTAGACCGCGTATTGTCAGAGGTTTGTATTAAATGCGACCGCGACTCAAGAGACTACCGGAATGCACAATTGATTATTATCAGGGTTTGTACAAGCACACCAGTGATTGATGATGATGTCCACAATAAAAATGATGCTGTCTATTGATGGATTATTAAAATTAATTTTTTTTTTTTTTTTTACAAGACTAGCGATTTGTTTTAACTGCACTAACTGAAATCAATACGTTTTTTTCAGCATGCGGAATAACGACCGTATTATGTAGGTAATTAAGTCATGTAAATATATAAAACCGCGTCTCTATACTCTATACTATAGAATCTATAGGATCTTGTATAATGTATAGCTTATATCATAAATTAAGCGTGTATGAACCCTACAGTTATACCGTCTCTGAGTATTAAAATATGGTGTACCGAAAACGACGGAATATGTTAACTTACGTTATTCTTAAATGGGTGTACGATGAGGAAAGTTTCTATTTTATGATCGGCAAGATAATTTTCTCGGGAACCACCATTTCCTGGTTCCACGGCAAACCTGCCATTCAGTTGTTCCATAGTAGCTCTGGTTATATGGACACGGCTAGAAAACACAATAAAATCCTTATTATTTTTAATTTAAATTAATTTTCAAAATCGTTTTGGTCGAGGTTTTCAATCGGCTTATAGTTGGTACTCGCGTAGTAACCATAACTATTAATTATTACACCCGGTTAATTTATGGTAATTTGTAATCTAATTCCTATATTATTATGTCGGTCTAATTGTGTAACTTTATATTTATACTAAACTCAACAATTGAGATTTCCATTGGTGATCTAATATCAATTGAATGTATATTTTGATGTGACTAATTGCTATGCCATATATATATATATATATATATATATATATGATCATATTACATTATGAATAATGATTTCAATTTATGCAATTATAATAAATAAGCCCACTAGTGCGATTGATGGCTGTAAATACATTTAAGTTAATATCATTCAGATGCATGTAAGTACTTAAAATTATTGCTAGCATAAATTATTTTTAAGACTTACATTTTATTTTCACAATTGTATTAATAAATACTACATTAAGTAATAATTCGTATATAATAAATTGTAGTCCAAACATAACACTACATGAAAACATTCAACAATTATTTTCTAACAATATAATAATATAAAACCGAACCCGTTCTATACATTATGAGTAATTTAATTTTAGTTTCTCTATAATTTAGAAAGTTGTGTGGAGTAGTTACATTATAATAATTGTAGTAGTTGAAATTGTAGTGGATTACTTAAATGTCCATAAAACTTTTTAGTTCATACATTTAAATGAAAAAAGTAACTAATTAATTAACTAACAAGTAAATAAGTTTCCTTGATAATAATTAAACTTAATAAATATTATAATTCAATTTATATTAGTAGTATTATTCTTTTTATTTTATACTATAGAAAAAAATATTTTTTAAACTTTTTAGTAAACAAATTACAGTATTTTATGTATTACAAATGAAAATATTATTTCAATGTTTGAACTTCTTTCATGGTAAAAAATGATTCCTGATTTATTATTCAACTTATTTAATATATGCTATTTTCTAATAATCTTTAAATAAAATGTGTATTATTATTGTGTTGATCACAATTATTATAGGTAAAAAACCTCTATATCATCCCATTTTTAATCGAATACAACTCATTCTAAATTAAACTGTTCTTTGGAATTTGATAGTTGATTTATTTATTTAGATAAATGCCCATGAGGGTTCAAGTATAGTAAAGTAAACGCTCATCTTAACATTACTTTTGAAAACATTTATAATTTATATTATATTATAATTTATAATCTTTGTTAACATTATTGTACAAAATAATTATGTAAATAATTAAAAAACTGCAATTTTTAAATATAATTAATTAATAAAAGTTTTTTTATCATTGTATTTCTAGTGTTGGTTTGTAAATATAATAAAGAATTTACATGTTTTTTTTGAAACTAAATTCAAAGTATTCTTAGGAACGTTCTGCTACATGTATAATCGTATCTTTGGGATGACATTTTCAGCATATCTTGTTTTGTGATGCTGCATCATCGTATGCGTTACGTATACAATGATTACTAGTGAGTACTAACACAACAACAAAACATTTTTAAAAATTAACCATGCAATGATTCTTAAATTAATCCTACCAAGAGGGCCTTAGCATTATGGTACAATTTCGTATACGGATATTCACATAAATTAATTATTTTTATTTAACAGTAAATTAGAGTAAAAATTATTAATCGTCATTGTAGTTGTATTTATAATATTATTAACAATATTATCAACTAGTTTAATTTTTTTATGTTTCTAGGAACTTAAAGCTCTTCTATCATGAATTTGCAGAAAAATAAATTTGAAGTTGGATTTTAACAGAGCAGTGTAAAATATACAGAGTTAAAATATGGTGAAGCTTTGTGAGACTTATGAGTGTAAAAATATTAATAATAAATCCTCTAAATATTTTTTTTTTCCAATCGATTATTGACGTTAATAAAACACTTAATTTAATTAACAGTCTTTTAAGTCTTGTATCACTCGATGGAAATTTCTGTTCTCTTAATTCAGAAATATGTTTTTAATATCACGTTAACATGGTTTTATAACTTAACTAATCATTGTTTTAATATAATATGCTAAAATACGTAAGACGTTGTCCAAAGTTAAAAAAAAAATATATTATATTTATATTTTATGCTTAGTCCCGTTTGGATAGGTTTTAAATAATTTTATGTATGCACAAATGTACAATGTATATAATGAGCTTGCATGTGTTATTATTTGGCAATGATATATAGAATGAAAATTATGAGTTACAATGAAGACCACTGTTTGAGTCCGTCGATTAATTAACCCTAAGAATATTGATGTGTTTAATATTTCTAAAGTGAACTATAAATCGAGTAATACTGCAAAATGATATGTACAAACGAAGGGCTTACTCGTGTTTAATTATTTTAGTCTCAAAATGAACCATTGTAATATATTGTTAATAACAGCATCAATTATTTTTAAAATATAAATAAGCCATTTATAATTGGACTTTTAAAAAATTAACGGATCTCAACTAATGTATAATTTAATAATCTGATTAAAATGTCAAGCACACATTTATTGATACCAGAACACATATAATTTAATGCTGTTGTAATCACAGACAATTTAATTATTGACAAACAACATTTGTAAAGAGGCAATATGTGAATATTAGGATAATGTTTCATTTCGAAATATTTTACCTTCATCTCGAAAGTAATTACTAGGGTTTGTGATGGATTTGTAGTTAAAACAGTAGGCGTTTTGTATTATGAAAAACAGTACTTAATGCAGATTATTCAGTAACGAAATTGTTTAAAATGTCAAACATGTATTGTTACAATAGTATAACACATTACAAAGATTACATTTATTTGCGGAATTAAAATAAATAAACAAAAATATAAACGACCGAGAAAAAGTTAATTAAACTATAGTGAAAAGCATAATGCGCATAAGTTTAATTTTTTTCTCAATCGACATCACATTTCAATAGGTACATAACATTAAATTCTCAACATTTTGTTTAAAATCGCATTAACACGAAGGATAGAATATGTATCCTTCAAAATTATACATAAATTTGTACTAATATGAAACACAATATAATGTGCATATTACCTTTATATTACAATATGTACTATTCGCGACAATATTATAATATCAAATTTGTTTTCGATCAGCGTAATATGCTTTATATGATATTGCATACACCACTTACTTTTTAGAAGAATATATTTTATTTAATACCATAAAACTGATTGAAAAATATGAGAAAACGAGATCAAATAATATCGAATAATTATGTTTAATATACAATTTTTTTGTAAAATAAAATAAATATTTAGCATCATTAAGTTAATAGAAATAAAAAGTTGAAATATCAAAATATTTAAGATATTAAACTCTATCAAACGGTTATCTAAATGTATTCGAAAATGATAAAAAAAACAGCTATTTTTTAAACGTTAAACCAAAACATGAAACTCTAAAATATAAATATTTGTAGCTCTCAAGCCTTTAAATCTTATAAATAATAGAGTTTGATTACTTTTATTATCTCAAGGGATATCAAAATGTGTTTATTTTCGTGGGAAACTGTATAATATTTTACCGTAACGGAATAAAATTTAGCGGTCCGTTCGCAATCGGCGGTTCATTTGGTGATCTGTTTAGGATTATGCCAGAAAAAGCTAATGGTTTAAAAAAAAGAAAATATCGATCACCTTTTTATTAAAGCTCAACTACGTATATAATAAAAATGTATGCTATACACCCGTAACTCTGTACGTAAAGTAGTATACGTGCAATGTACAAGAAAATGAGTCGGGGATAATACAGTGTACATTTTATGTATAGGTTTTCACAGCAATGTCGGAATAGACTGAATAGCCATCAACCGATTTTTAACTGCAATTTTTCGATAAAGATCATTTTGTGTAATCAATCCATGTCCACGACAATATAATGGACGTTCAAGGAATGAAATACATTTTTTATTGGATTTGAAATATTATAAGATCTGTTCGTTAAAATGAGAACGAAAAAAGGTATTGTCAAGAAAATATGAACATAACATTATATATAAATAATATAATATTACACTTTGATTCACACTTAGTAGTAGGTAATGGAACCGTTTCCTTACGATACGAATATCAATAATTGTTCGCTTTCCCCCCTTCATTATCTATCATAAGCATTTTTAAAAATTAAAAATATCTACTAAATAAAATTTATCGGTTTGGTTTGAAGTGGTATATTTCAATTATTTGAAAATAATTCGCTTGGTAGACATTACAACTGTCTGCTAACCACCGTAGCATTAATGCGGCACGATTTGATTTGTTCATTTTGAAATGCAGCATTAGAAATGATCGAATACGAGATCATCGCAGTACAAGAATAAATGTGTTTTGAATGTCACATTCTTTTTCGTGCTTATTATCCCACACATCCCTAAAGCTCCTTAAATGTACACAATGCTTTTAATACTACGAATAAGTAGTCCTTGAGCCTTTGAACACCGTGGGTTAGGTTTGAATACGTACATTTTAAAAACTACAATGACGAACCGTTTGGGTATTGTACTTTCTATGATTATAGCTTGTTTGATTTTTCTCAAACTTTGTACCTAAACCCCCGTGTGGTCATTCAGAAAAAAATGAAAATTTTTCTATTCAACTTTTCTTTACAAACACTATTTTTATTTTATTTTATCTAACCGAATCCGTTGCTGGCAAAAATATGATCAAACATTGTTTAGTTTTGTTCACTCTCACGTATAATCAACTGCCCTCACTCATCAACACGTGCGCAAAAGTTATTATTAATTATTATTTAAGAAGATAATATTGTCCGCAATATTGGGGCCGTTGTCTGACTACGTGGTCTCTTATTTTTGTATCGTACGATTATTAAATACTCATATGGTGATTTTGACACTTTTCGCACATATCTTCAACGCATAATGGCGAGTCATGGCAAATTCATTTTTTCTAACTTTGAAGACTTTAAACTCTAAGAGCCAGTTTTTATCGTTATAATCTGGTTCGAATAGCCTGGTGGATTATACCATTATATTTTTATATCATATTCTCGTGTGCGCTAATCATCCATTATATTGTGTAAACGCGAATCGCTACTCACTGTTTTTTTTGTTGTATGAGTTAATCGCAACTCTTCTTATTACTATTATTGGCTAAGTGTATTCATCTATATTATTTTTAAGTTTTTAGTGCACTAGTTTTATTTTTGGAATTTTTTTTTTCTTGAATAAAAGTTAACGAGCCATTAAGAGTCGGTGAGTTTAAAGAAACTTAAAGATAAGACGGTGACATGTTCGTACAACGAATCTCAGACATAAATTTGACATAAATTTTGAATAAATTTTTCTTTCGATATATTAAACCTGGTTAGACAACGTAAATATTATTTCTTAAGTATAATAAATTATAATAAGATTAATTTAATACTTTTACCACTTCTATATTAATTTGATAATTTTCCATCTCAGACTCAATTTTTCAAGCATCAGAGTAGCAGAAATTACAGTACTAATGTATATTTCTAAAACTGTTATTGAGAATTTTCTGATGTCAATACATAGTTTAAAGAATAAACTTCTAGAAAATGCGTAGTAGTATGTATACACGGTACTGCGAATAGTGTAAAAAATGTGTAATTTTTGTTTTAATACAAATTACAAATATTAAAATTGTTTGAAAAATAAAATTAACGATACCCTGTCTGCTGAAATAATATTAATAGACAATAGTAGTTACCAATCTCTCTCTTTATATGTAACTATTGAATCGATAAAAAAACAACATTTATTTTTCAAACTACGTATTAATTTTGTAATTTTTAGGTTTGGTATATTTCAAATGCCAAAGCGCGATATTGTTATTTACGACGATTACGACAGTTATTGAACGCGCCGGTATGAGTTATAGGACGTCGCCGAGCAAGAGACAGTTCAAACGTCGGCTGTCCATAAACTCAAATGGATAAAAAAAAAAATTCGAAAACATGATGTCCATTCGCATTACACACACACCGCCGTGTTTCGAACACGGTAATTGCTTGTAAAAATGAAATAAAAAATAAAAATCAGCAGACCAGGAGCGTGGAAATGATTATCAGAAGTGGTGCAACGTTTCACCGTTCGGCCAAACAAAAAACGTTTTCGAACCATGACTATATCGGTTCGGGAGGTTTTCGAATAGCGCACTCGTCCGTTAAGCTATACAACAGGGGTGGGTAACTGGCGATCTGTGCTATATTTTCAAATTACATCAAACAATTTTAAAGTTTATCTTCTATACTCTATCTTATCGATATATTGATATATCTGATATTGAACATCATTAAATTTCTAAATGAATACGTATAGCTTACAACCGTAGCTGTTTGTACCGGACTATATCAGTTTCTTCGAATCATTTGTGTGTCGTGTTGTCATGTATGTTGAATTTATTATTTCCGTGTACATAAATGCTAATTAAAATTGATGTTTTGAATGACCTTTCTTTATTTTGGTTTTCTACGCTCTGGCCTGTTAGATTTTAATTTTCTAAAAATTGGCCCTCTAGTAACTTTAAGTTGCCCCTCCCTGCTATATAACGTACGTGGCGTATGGCCGTACGACCCCGTCCCACAAGCCGTCGCGAATGCAACGAAACGATTGGTCTGGGCGACACAAACGGTTTTCATAATTACCCAGGCACGCCGCCTGACTCCATGTGGTTGGCTAACGTCACGTCGTCGCTCCACACGTCGAACTGCCATTTCCTTAGGCCCAGGACGCCGCACAGCACGTTCCCGGTGTGTATGCCGATCCGCATGTCCACGTCGAACCCGGTAGCTCCTTTGACGAACCTGCACAACACAATACAGGCGCGCACGTGAACAACATTGACCGAAGTTTCGTGGTGGTGGGCGGGACGGGGACGGGAGGAAACTACTCGATCGCGATCGATCGGACCGTGGTGGAACCATGTACCGCGAGGCAGTGCCGTAGCAACCAAACATTGGACCCAGGGGTGAAATTTCAAAATGCGCCCTTATTTATTTTTAATTTAAAAATATTGCGTTTCTTAAATATTATTTTCAACGATTGCTTTAATTAATACGAAGGATGTTAAAGATTTTGTAAACAAAATATACGAAATTGACCTTTATAATTTTCAACATTAAATGTAAGATGCGCCTGGGGTGTAGGAATCTCTCGCCAACCCCTTGCTACGGCCTTGCCGCGGGGTGTGCGATTCAAACCGTTCGTCTGGTTAAAATCGGCACAATAAACACAGTGTAACGCATGTGATTTCGTCACACTGCGCGTCATCGTCCAAACACCGGACGAGCAACGGCCGTGCTAATAATATGTTGGTCGATTGCGGTTGCGAGTCCTTAGCATTGACGTTCTCAACAGTCGATTGTTTTTACAAACGGCATTCGAGTACGGTGTTATTTATTTTGCTTTGATGTCGCCCGAAATCGCGAAAAGATTTATTGCGTTCGTTAAATACTTGACGTTATTTCAGAGCATCAAAACGGCCGAGCGAAAGCAAATGAATAAAACGTCTAAAATTAAAATGTGAATATCATATAACGTATCATTTATAATAGCTCGATATTAACACGGGATCACCAAGATTTTAATTATTTTCCATCCTTTGGAGGTTGAAAGTGTACAACTATTTTTATGTGAACGATCAAGTATAATGCAAAGATTAATATTTACAGTTGTCTGAATAATACTGCGAATGATAATGAAAAAAAAAAACTGATTAAATATTTTAGTTGAGATTCGTCCCGAAATTATATTACCAGTTGAGTACTTTATATTAAAAAAATCTTATTTTGTTTTAGCACGTATTCAAATAAAACACCGAATACAATTTAAAATGTACGTATTAATATCTGGATCATTTTTAACGTTTTTGAAAAAATAAATAATAGGCTAACCGTGAAATGTACTTTAAATCTTACACTAATTTCTGTGTTCACTTTTTCATCAGTGTTTTCCTCATAATATTCTTTTAAATGTTTTGTATTTAATTAAATCTGATCGGGGTTGTATTGAAATAATTTGTTGTTTGCAGCGTAATGTTTTCCATCAATTAGCATTTGTTATACAAAATATTATAACGATCCTAACGGTCGGTTCCGTGAAATCCATTTTTTTCACCTGATCGCTTCAATCATCTGCAACCCCATGTTGACACAGTTGTAAGCGTGATTCGGCCTGGAAACCGGAAGTCCGGAAACGCAGTAGTAACAGTCGCCCAAAATTTTTATCCTCATGCACTGATTTTCCTGGTGACATAAAAACAATTCGTATAAATGGACTAGTTGCAGTGATAATAACGCAATGAATCAACTTAGAAATACGATCGGGGATATTGGGTTCGTTTAACCATAATTCTGTTGTGCCCATCGCCGTGCTTGGATCTAGAAACTATATTTCGTACGTGCGTATATAAAGTTGTAACCAGTGCCAGTGGACTATTCCTCGGTCAAATGTATACCTCGTCGAAGAGACTCCGCGTACCCTGTGTTATTACCCGGTTAGATCCTATATTGAGAAAGCGTCATGTTCACTTGCAAGTATTCCGGTAATACATGAAATCATTTCTATCTCGTTATTGTAAAATTGTCATCTAAGGATAAATGTGATTTAAAGTAGATACGATACAACTGTTTGAAAGAATGGTTTTTTTTCCTAAAAATATAAAATTGATCACCATTGTTTTATTATTACACTAGATATTTTTTTCTAAAAATTACTATCATAATATTTCTTTTATCATTTTTTTTACAAAATCAGTAGTAAAATAAATACAAAAATACTGGTTTTCGACAATTTTTTTGATTTCATCGGAACTAAAAAAATAATAAAATGTTTCCGGAACTCTTGGAGTTCTTTGTTGATAAAATTTTCAATAAATATTCTTGAGATATTTATAGGTAATTAAAAATTGCATATTTCTCATCTCTTCTTATAATTTTTTTTTTTTTTTTGTAAAGTTCGTAAAATGTAAAAAAATAATTATTGGTTGACAAATTATTTTGAAAATTAAACAAAGAATACCTCATACATGTATGATACAGATCAACGGGGAAAAAATTAATCTTAGTTAAAAAATAAAATAAAAAATTAGAAGTTTATATATGGTAATGAATAAATAATTAAATAAAAGCTTAACCCTGAGTATTATTATTTTTGTAAATTACGACCGGTTTCGAATTAAAAATTTGCGTCCGCAGAAGGGTTCGAAACCTACGGTCGCAATAACTCCAACTCGTCCGAAAATAATAAATGGTGTCGAGTTGGCCGAAAAAATGTGCGACCTAACTAATGTTTTTTTTTACGAACATTGGCAATATTCTATCGGCAGACATGCTGCGTGTCGAAATCTCAAAGGGGCAGTTTGAAACGCCGGTCACAAATATCGGGACGAAACACAAGAACACGCAGTGGTTCCCTTAGTGCCAAAGTAAAAAAAAAAAAAACCGATGTGATGTATCGAAATGCGTTTGAGCGGTGTTGTTATATATTTATTTAGTTATAAATATATGTATATATTTCTGTAGTTTATCGAACCTGATCAATTGATACAGTTTTTACTGTGTAAGATCACAAAAACCGAATATGCATTTATTAAAAACCTATTTTATTTTACAAAACTATGATTCAATGAGAGCATTTTGATCACATCAATGGATTATTCCATGCGGTCATACAATAAAGCATCGACTGATACCGTTTTTCACATTTGTAGGAACACACATGGGCTTCATTGCATCACTGCTTGGAATAATTCCATTGGCGTTGATAGGGTTTGTATTGAACACGTTGTAAAGTAAAATATATCAGATATTTGGGGGGGGTCTAACATTATTATTTAATACAATTTATAGTTAATAAACTATATTCACCGCTAAAATGTTTCTACTTTTGAAAATTTCGGGGAGGGTCCGGACCCCTGGACCCCCCCAGTTTCAGCCTTGGTGTTATTATCAATTATTTAAGGAAGTTCTTTACAGTCATGTTTTATTTATTGTTGGATGCGTAGAGTTGCTTTCATTGTTTGGAATTTTTAGTCTTGTGATATCAAAGAGTTGCAAAGGAACGTTCATTTCTAACTTCTAGTATGACGAAATCACTAGTCTCTTGAAGCAATGAGATATGTGCCAATTTCATATGGCTTTTCTTAATCATTTTGTGTTTATTGATAGGTCGAAAGGAATTCGAATAATCCTTCGATATTATGCAGTGGCGTAGGTAAGGAAGGAGTCAAACCAAAGTCCCAGTTAGTAAATAAATGGTAAATTATAAAAATTAATATTATCTAAATATATCATCCCCCCCATAAATAATCTTTACCTATGCACTTAATATCACGTATACGTTTTCTTCGATACTGCTAATAGGCATAACAGTAACTGGATAGAAGATAGAAGAATAGGATAGAATATTGTTTTGTTTACGTGATCATTTTTTTTATCAGCTATGTTATCTTATTACCGGTTTACCTACGAATATGGTCAGTGGCGTATTTTCAAATTGTTTGTGTATGGATGGCGGGGTAAAATATTTTTAAAAATAATTGATTTTATATGATAAAATGCATAAAAGGTATGAATTAATAATTATATTATTCTATTATTATTATAAATAAGAATGTAGAGTTAGGTATTTATAATAAAAAAGGTAAACGTAATTTTTTTTTGCTAATCTATCAATAATTTTTTCAGTTGCTATTAAGTAGTTTTTATTTATTCATAACAATGCTAAACCTAACTTTTTTTTTTCTGGAGGAAGGTTGAGACTCGATACCTCCCTCGCCCTCGGAGATATGCCTCTGAGTATAGTAACCACATAATTTAAATTTATTTTTCATTGAATTTAGTTTAGTTTGGTTATTGAGGATGGTTTTTTTATTATTAAATCTTTATACAATCAATTATCATATTAAAAATGATTTTCTCAACATACCTCTTTTAAACTTTTGTCTTGTATTGGTGATTATGACATAAAAAAAAAAATTAAAAAACACGTATCATGGTAAAACCAATACATCTGTCGTTTTACTCAAAATCTAAAATTGGTATTTTAGATTATAAATCGAGCAATGTTCTTCGGATTAAATAAAAATATTTTAAAATTAATTTTGAAATCGATATTTTTTTATACAATGTAAACCACTACGAATGTATATATTTAAATCATACTACAAATAAGAAAATATCTTGAAAGTTTGTAATACATTTGGTATTATAGTAGATAATTTTAAAGCAGTAAAAGTTATTTGATAAAATGTGTTTATCAAGTATCACTCCTATAGATTTTGAAAATCTTTCATTTTTTTCTTGTCAAATGACTTAATGGATTCATTGTAAAATATGATTTTTAAAATATATTCATCGATTCCCATGAATTCTGCTTTTAGTGAGCGTTATTTTTCAACTTTATGCCGTCTTAAGACATTCACTAGTAATACTATTGGTCAAGAAAGGCTAATGGCTAACAATTACAGCTATTATAAATATAGAAAATATGTACCCGATAAATGTTGATAAAATTATTGATAAATTTATTAAAATATCAACCCAAAGAGGCAGAAAACTATAATTAGTATATATTTTTTATTATGTAAAGTATAAAGTTAATTGTGTACCTAGTTGCAGTTTTTATAAATATTAAATATTTTGTTTAGTAGTTATAAAATATTAAAGTTTTTCTATATTTTTAATGTATTTAAGTTTGTTTGTTTACATATGTTTTATTTTCATTACTAACTAATATTGATTACCTTCAAATTGATCAATATTAGTTATTAATTAGTAGAGACCTCAACGATCAAATAAACAGAGGTGAGAGGTTTCTAGGCATGAGCGTAACTTGAAAATTTATTAGAAGAGGCAAATATATAGTTAAATATAAAATAGTCTATATAGTTAACATTACCTTTTGTTGTATACTACGAGGGTAGACTGAAATAATGCACATATAAACAAAACAATCTGCAGAAGCGCGCTTGATAGCATTCGGAAATCACTTTACCCTCTATACACTTGTACAGTTTAAAAGCGTTGCGTGTACCAGTTCATTTTAAGTAGTGGAAGTATTGAAACGTGTTCTAGTGCTATGTCAAAGCGAGTTACTTTCGAATTCTATCAAGCGGGCCTTTGCAGATTATTTTGTTCATGTTCATAAGCATATAATCATTACTCTTCGGTCTACACTCGCAATATACAACAAAAGGTAATATTAACATAAATTTAGAAGTAATGTAATGTGAACTTTATAGACTAGTTTATAAATAATTATATATTTTCCTCCTCTAATAAACGTGTTCAAGTAACGCCCGTATCTAGAAACCTCTCACCTCTGGTTATTTAATCGGTGAGGTCTCGAGTCAGCCGGTCCATGGTCAACACTTATTCGAGCTTTACCAAATTATGCGTATCAATTCGCTTGGAACTCAATTTCTATCCATGGACTTGAAGGTCGTCATGCTCGTCGTAGGCTTCTTGTGTTTCGTCCCGACATTTGTGACCGGCCTTTCAAGCTGTCTCTTTGAGATTTCGACACGCGGCATGTCTGTCGATAGAATATTGCCAATGTTCGTAAAAAAAAAAAAAAACGTTAGTCAGGTAGCAAATTTTTTCGGCCAACTCGACACCATTTATTGTTTCCGAACAAGTTGGAGTTATTGTGACCGTAGGGCACGAACCCTCTTGCAGACGCAAATTTTTAATTCGAAACCGGTCGTATTTTACAAAAATAATAATACTCTGGGTTAAGCTTTTACTTAATTATTTATTCATGACCATATATAAACTTCTATTTTTTTATTTTATTTTTGTAATTAGGATTCATTTTTTCCCCATTGATCTGTATAATACATGTTTGAGGTATTCTTCATTTTATTTTCAAAATAATTTGTCAACCAAAATTTATGTTTTTACATTTTACGAACTTCACAAAAAAAAAAAAAAAAAAATTATAAGATGAGATAAGAAATATGCAATTTTTAATTACATCTATGAATATCTCAAGAATATTTATTGAAAATTTTATTATCAACAGGGAACGGTCGTTTCAGGAACATATATAATTTTTTTAGTTACGATGAAATCAAAAATTTTGTCAAAAACCAGTATTTTTGTATTTATTTTACTACCTACTGATTTTGTAAACAAAATCATCAACGGTGATCAATTTTATACTTTTAGTAAAAAAAAATCATTCTTTGGCTTAACGTTTTTACAATCGTTTTTTTTTATCATGCGGATGGAATTCATTTTAA